AAATATTAAATGCATCCTTTTCAGATCATAATGCAATAAAAATTACATTCAGTAAAGAGTAGTGGAAAATAGGATAAAAATTTAATTGGAAACTAAAAAATTCTAATCCTAAAGAATAAATGGGTCAAAAAACAAATCATAGGAACAATTAATTTCATTAAAGAGCATGACAATAATGAGACAACATGCCAAAATTTATGGGGTGTAATGAAAGTATTACTTAGGGGAAATTTTTTTTTTATCTCTGAATGTTCATATCAATAGAATAGAGAAAGAACAAATCAATAAATTGGGCATGCAACTTAAAAATGAGAAAAAGAATAAATCAGTAACCCCCAATTAGATACCACATTGGAAATCCTGAAAATCAAAGGAGAGAAAATAAAATTGAAAGAAAACCACTGAATTAATAAATAAAACTAGGAGTTGGCTTTATGAAAAAAACAAATAGATAAACCATTGGTTAATTTGATTTTTAAAAAAAGGAAAGAAGAAAACCAAATTACTAGTATCAAAAATAAAGGAGTGAATTCACTACAAATGAAGAGGAAATTAAAAGAATTATTAGAAGCTATCCTGCCCAATTATACGCCAATAAATCTAACAATCTAAACGAAATGGATGAATATTTACAAAAATATAAATTGCCCAGATTAACAGAAGAGGAAGTGGAATACTTAATCTAATCTTAGAAAAAGAAATTAAACAAACCATCAATGAACTTCCTAAGAAAAATTCCCTAGGGCTAGATGGATTCACAAGCAAATTCCACCAAACATTTAAAGAACAATTAATCCCAATACTACATAATCTGTTTGGAAAAACAGGCAAAAAAGGAGTCCTACCAAATTATTTTCACAACACAAATATGGTGCTGACACCTAAATCAGAATGAGCAAAAATACAAAAAGACGACTATAAACCAATTTTCCTAATGAATACGGACACAAAAATTTTAAATAAAATGCTATCAAGGAGATTATAGCAATATTTCACAAGGATCATATACTATGACCTGGTATACATATACAAGAATGTAGGGCTGGTTCAAAATTAGGAAAACTATGACCATAATTGACCATATCAATAACAAAACCAACAGAAATTATATGATTATCTCAATGGATGCAGGAAAAAACTCTGACAGATTACAACACCAATTTATATTAAAAATATTAGTGAGCATAGGAATAAATGGAGCTTTCCTTAAAATAAGTAATATTTGTCTGAAACCATTAACAAGCATTATCTGTAATGGGGATAAGCTAGAATCCTTCCCAATACAATCAGGGGTGAAGTAAGCATGCCCATTATCACCTCTATTACTCAATATTGTACTAGAAATGCTAGCTATAGCAATATGAGAAGAAAAAGAAATTGAAGGAATTCAAAAAGGCAATGAGGAAACAAAATTATCACTTTTTGCAGATATGATGGTACACTTAGAGTATCTTAGAGAATCAACTAAAAAACTACTTGAAATAATTAACAACTTTAGCAAAGTTGCAAAATATATAATAAACCCATATAAATCATCAGCATTTCTATATATTACCAACAAAGCCCAGCAGCAAGAAATAGAAAAAAAGAAATTCCATTTAAAATAACTGTAGACAATATAAAATACTTAGGAGTCTACCTGCCAAGACAAACCCAGAAACTTTATGAATACAATTTCAAAACATCTTTCATACAAATAAAGTCAGATCTAAACAAAAAAGTCAGATCAACTGCTCATGGGTAGGTTAAGCCAACATAATAAAAATGACAACTCTACCTAAATTAATCTTATTCAGTGCCTTAGCAAATCAAACTAATAAAAACGTTATTTTACAGAGATAGAAAAAATAACAAAATTTATCTGGAAGAACAAAAGGCCAAGAAAATCAATGGAATAAATGGAAAAAATTGTGAACGAAGGTGGTCTAGCTATACTAGATCTCAAATTCTATTGTAAAAAGCAATAATTATCAAAACAATCTGGTACTGCCTTAAAAAGGGTAGTGGATCAGTGGAATAGATTGGATACACAATACTTAGTAGTAAATGACCATAGTAATCTAGTGTTTGATAGTGATTTGGATTCAAAGCTGTTAGGACAAAAACTCATTATTTGACAAAAATTGCTAGGCAAACCTGAAAACAGTATTGCAGAAACTAGGTATAGACCAACATTTCACACCATACACTAAGATAAGGTCAAAATGGGTACATGATTTACATGTAAAGGGTGATAGCATAAGCAAATTAGGAGAGCATGGAATAGTTTATCTGTCAAATCCATGGATGAGGGAAGAATGTAGGACCAAAAAAGATATAATGAGCATCATGAGATGCAAAATGAATAATTTTGATCATATACAGTTTAAAAAGTTTTTGCACAAACAAAACCAACACAACCAAAAGTAGAAGGAAAGCAGGAAATTAGGGGGAAATTACACTATGTCTGACAGAGGCCTCATTTCTAAAATATAGAGAGAACTGAGTAAAATTTATAAGAATACAAGTCATTTCTCAACTAACAAATGGTCAAAGGATATTAACAGTCAGTTTTCAGGCAAAAAAATCAAAACTAGTCAGTCATATAAAAAAAAGCACTACAGATTAGAGAAATGCATATCATATTAAAAATAACTCTGAGGTACCACCTCACACCTATTAGATTGGCTAATATGCAAAAAAGGAAAATAAGAAATATTGGAGGGGATGTGAGAAAACTAGGACACTATTGTACTGCTGGTGGAATTGTGAACTGATCCAACTATTCTAGAGAGCAATTTGGAACTATGCCCAAAGGGCTATAACATTGTGCATGATCCAGCAGTACCAATGCTAGATCTGTATCCCACAGAAAGAGAAAAAAAAGGAAAAGATCCTATTTGTACAAAAACATTCATAGTATCTTTTTCTGTGTCGGCTAAGAATTGGAAACAGTTGGGATGCCCATCAATTGGGGAATGGGTGAACAAATTGTGGTATATGATTGTAATGGAATATTATCGTGCTATCAGAAATAACAGACAGGATGATTTCAGAAAAACCTGGAAAGCCTTACATGAACTGATACAAAATGAAGAAAGCATAACCAGGAGACTAATGCACACAGTAATAGCAATATTGTATGATGAAATGTGAATAATTTAGCTATTCTCAACAATACAACGATCCAAGATAACCCCAAAGGATTCATAAGGAAAATTACTATTGGCCTCCAGAGAAACAACTAATATTGTCCAAGTCAGACTGAAGCATGTTATTTTCTTTCTCTCTCTTTACTTCTTCTTGCATAAAGTGACTAATATAGAAATGTTTTACATGATTACACATACATAATCTATATCAGATTGCTAACCATCTCAGGGAAGGGAAAGGGGAGAGGTAATGGGACAGAATATGGAACTTAAAACTTAAAAAACTCCAAATGTTAAAAATTGTTTTTACATGTAATTGGGGAAATAAAATATTATTAAAAAATAAACTTATATCATACTGGGGAAACAACATATATACATATAAGTAAATATAATTTATTGTTTTAGTTTTATTTGTTTAGTTTTTGGTTCAGGGAGCCAGGGAGTTCAGACATGAGATTTAACTGATTTAAGAAACTTCCAGTAAGAAAACTCTCTCTACCAATACAGATTAAGAACTGTATTGCAACTTGCCAGAGTCATACAGCCCAGTATGTAGGAGAGACAGGGCATGAACCCATGTCTTCTTCACTTTGAGGTGTGTTCCCTACCTACTATGCCATGCTGCTTTACCATCAATACAAAACATATGCAAAATATATACAAAGCAATTCTGGGACAAGGGGGAAACACTAATAACTGGCAATCAGGAAAAGCCTCTTACAGGAAGTGGCATGAGTTGAGGCTTGATGAGAGCAAGGGTTTCCAAAAGGCACAGAAGAAGAGAGATCATTCTAGGCATTTGGAGGTAGCATGTGCAAAGGCAGAGGGGTATAATACAGAAGGTCATATACAGATATAAGTCAGTTTGGCTTAATCACAAGGAACAGGATACGAAGTAATGGGAAATCTGTCTAGAAAGGTAGCTTGAGCCAGACTGGGTAAGCCTCTAAATCTCAAACAGGAATTTGCATTTTATTCTAGAAACAAATATAATTTTAGAGACCAAAGGTCTTGAGCAAGGAAATGAGATAGGCTTGTACTTTAGGGAAAAAGTTTGGTAGCTGTGTGCTAAACATTTACTAAAGTGAGCAAGACACTTTTTGTACAGAGACAAATCTCTAGGCTATTGAAACATTCCATACCATTGGTGATAACAGTCTGAACAAGGTTGGTGGGCCATGTGAGTAAAGAAAGGAGGCCTAATGCAAAAGCTGTTTTGAAGGTATTCACAAGATATAGCAGCTGATTGGATATGGAGGGTGACTAAGGATGACTCTGGTTGTGAACCTGAGTAATAGTGAAAATGACAATTCCCCCAAGAAAAATGGGTGAAGTTAAAGGAGAGATGGATAAGTTTTGGGGGAATGATATAAGAGTTCTGTTTTTAAGATAGTGAATCTGATGTCTTTATGAAATTACCAGATGGCTGTCATCTTGGCTTTTAGAAACCATCTTGAAGCCCAGAAAGCCTAGAACTAAAGACCTACTGACATTTTACTCCACTGGCTTTAAGCCGGTGTGTAAACAGCTTCTCATTTGGGTGACCATGAAGAATTTGCTCTTTGAGTTCCCAAGAGAGAGACAGGGGAAAGGAGGGAAGGAGGAAGGAAGGAGTGCCCTCATCAAAGGCCTCCCTCCTTATAGTGTGTATCAGCAAACCCACGTCAGATTGGATATCTTCCCAATTGTGAAGTGAATATTCAAACCTGGGATGGAAAGTAGTATTAGTTAGCAAGAGGGCCTCTCTCTGTCCTCATGTTCCTCCTCTCCGCCTATTTTCCTTCAGTTCTGTCCATGGAGCACCCTCCTCTACCCATAGCAATTCAGAATGAAAACTTAAAAAGTAAAGACCAAGAAACAACCTACCTTCTGGCTCCTCTATGCTGCTGGCCGCAGTGGTGGGTGGAGCCACAGGAATCTCTTTCAGAGGTTCAGGTCCAGGTAAGAAGAGCAAAAGGAATGAAAATACAGAAAAACGGCATTAATTTTATTTTTACCTTGGAGGAAAAAAAGATAGTAAACATATCAGTTATTTTTATTTAGTCTGTTTGTAGGGAACCTCTTAAATGTTTTGAATCACAAAAGGAAGACAACCTTCCCTTAAGAGAAGAGCTGGACCAGACCAAGGGGTAGGGGAAACAGGCAACTTTGATTTATTATGGTGTGGTGGGGTCTTATCAGAGATGTTAATAATCTGTGATCACTATCAAGGGACCTTGAACAGTTTGAATGAATGGATGGATAAGGGGGAAGTTCAGGACCACCATATTCCTACTTGCCCAAGGTTAGAGAGAGAAAACTGAATATGGTGCTTTTGTGCCAACTGTGTATTTGGTCAGTCCCCAGCCCCTCAGCTTCGTCAGAAAGAACCCCTCCTCTTGATAGTTAGGCTTTTTAAAGAAACTTGTCTTAATTGTGCTGTGATCATTGACCCATGTACATAATAGAAAACACTGGGTGTTCTGTGGAGGCAAAAAGTCAGTATCAGGTTCTGTACATCCATGGAAACATCTCTGGGTCAAAACTTGTTGGGCAGGAGATTTTTGCTGAAAAGCATGTCAAAAGGCTAAGAAAATGAGGAATTTAGGAAATGAAATCTGTATTATTCACGTTTCCTTTAAAATACATTTTGACTTGTACTGACTAGGATCAAGGCACTGTTGAAGGCAGAGGTGCCCTGACATAGGGGAGGCTCAGCTACCCTCCAGGAATCTGTGATTAAAGAAGTTAGAGCATTAGGTAAGCAGAGAGAGATTTTATACTTTCCAGGATTTATATCTCTGCTTCTAAAAATTCAGTTTTTAAAATTATTGTGATTTCTTTTTTCTCATTCAAGATGACCATCATTTCATAATGAAAATGGAGATTATTCACCATCAAACAAAGCCAAAGGCCCAGAGTTTGTTTTCCATGAACAGGGGGCAGACAGGATGCTCTCAACTCAGACTCTGGCTCAATCTTATTCATCAAGATAAATCCATCTTGTCCATGGATTCTGAATCAGACAAAACAATGAGCCTGGATCTTGTACGGACCTGAGTATAAACCAGTCATCCTGGAGCCAGACAGACTGTGACATCAACAGTGATCCTGGCAGAAAAAAACTATCCTCATTTTGTAGATAAATCATGGTCTTCCATAATTACATTCATTGTAATGAGAAGCTGGATCTTAACTATAAGACAATGTTTGCTGAGGGTTTGGTATAAGAAACACATATTTCACACCTTGTTTGTCTAAGTGGGACTGAAGAACCAAAGCAATGGCATAAAACAACACCCACAGCACAGACGCCTGGGAAAACAGTACAGTGAGGCAATGATTTTGCTCTTGATTTTAATGCCATCACCACTACTAGTCTAATAATAACAAAATAATAATAATGAACTTCCCATTTGTTTCAGGAGGGCTCAGAAAGGAAGGTCCTCAAGGTTGTCCCTGTATCTCAGAGTATGGCACAAAACTGAGATGGTATACTTGAGGGTTATGCTCTATTCCCAGGTTCACTCACCATTGAAAGGTGGTTAGCAATGATGCATACATCACAATCATGTTTATTTTATAAAGGCACACTGGTGCCTGGTGGTTGTGGGATACAGGCCATGTAAAGAAGAGTCTTCAAAAAGTAACATGGCCTCATTCTTATCTCCCTCATAAGCTACCTGTGGCCAAGAAAATATTCATAGGGAAATATGGAATCACATGGCCCCACTCATGAAACTTCTTTAAAGAAATGACAAAGACAAGCTTAGCAATATGGTTTATGAACGGAGCTTTGGGGGGGGGGAATTGTCCATACTATTCATATTGGTTTCTCCCTTCTTCGTACTATAGTTCTTATACACAAAGCCCATACCACTTTTTTTCTAGTTGCTTGGCATATCAGTAATATTGTGGTTTTTGCAAGAAAAAGGCTAAGTCCTTTCCTCCTTGCATCATATAAAGGAAGGAGGCTATTCTGCACAACTGTTTCTGAGTTTCTCTTTGCTGCTTCTCAGTGGAATCTCACTGACTGTGTTTGGCAATTCAAATCTTTCAACAAGAAGGTTTCCACCAGTCATACATCTGCCCCTTGTAAGAAGGAGAAGTAAGGGAGTGGGATGAGTAGAGAGAGATTTCATATTTTCCAGTGATTATATCTCTGCTTCTAAAAATTCAGCTGTTTTTCAAGCTTGGACTTTCCACAGGGGATTTAAAAGACAGGGGATAAGTTTAAAATGTTACGTTTCAGATATTTCTGAGCAATTTGAGAGCTGCTGGTCCCTTTTAAAAATGAAACCATTAAAAATGTTTTCATAACCCAAAATGGCTACATGGATTTTCTTCCAACTTCACAAAAATGTTCCCTTCAGGGTTTTTTAGACTTAGACTGAAAAGAAGAATTTTTGTGTGTTATAAGCCTCTGACAATTGGTGAAGAAAAAAAAAAAGAAACCATTTAACAAGCTTAAACATATATGAACAAATAGTAAACTGAATGAACTTTCTTGGACTATTATTTATTATTACTCTATTTCTGAAAATAATCTTAATGAAATGCATCATAATTTAGAAACGAATATTGTTAGAATAACAACAACTCAAACATACAGAGCCAGATATCTAGGCAGTGGGGGGGGAATCCAATTTAGATACCTCTTCCTTTCACTCTCAAGACTTCTTTTACTTAGTGTGGTCCACTGTGTTTGAGAATCTCTCCATGACTAAATGAAAACCTGTGCCCAGGTTGTGGGCTTGTGTGATAGTAGAAAGCAACTTCTCTCCACTTTAAGATGGGAACCATAAAGACGGTCTATCATGGTGCAGCTCTGGTAAGAGACCAGAATAGGCAGACTGGATTTGGTTTCTAATTCCTACAAAGGATAAAGAAGGACTCTAGGCATCTAGATCATGACACCTGGATTCTATTTTTTTTGGCTAGGATTAGTTGACTGCTGTCCTTCACTCAGTCTTTTAAGGTCACTGGGCATAGGCAGAGGGCCATGAAAAGAATCAAGTTGAAGGGCAGCTAGGTGGTGCAGTAGATAGAGTGCCGGCCCTAGAATCAAGAGGACCTGAGTTCAAATCCGAGCTCAGACACATAACACTCACTAGCTGTGTGACTCTGGGCAAGTCACTTAACCCCAATTGCCTCATTTAAAAAAAAAATAAAGAATCAAGTTGAGTCTTCCAACATCTAACTTCCTATTTGCTCTAACATGTTTTTTTACATCTGAGTATGTACTGCCATTTGCATAAAATCATACAGGCTGGGGAAGAAATGTGTGTCACATGGTAGAACTTTATACAAAGATAGGAAAGCAAAGTAAGTACTTAGGAGGTAGTGAGGTGCAGTGGAAAGAACACTGGATCTCAAATTGAAGACTTGGTTTTCAGCCCCGGCTCTAACACTTAATAACCTCATAACTGTGGGTAAACGGATCAGCCTCTCTAAGCTTCAATTTCCTCACCTGCAAAATGAAGCCAGAAACATGTGTACTATGTGCATCCCACTATAGTAATGGATGATGTTAGTTTAAGACCCATACTTGCGAGGGCTCAAATGCTGCTGGTCTCCTCACAGCTAGAGGTATATACAAGACTCAAGAGTCACCCGGCCACTTGTCCATCCACCACAAAGCCTGGGCTGTTTGGGAAGGAAACAAAATCTGGTTTGGGGTTGGGGGCTGGTAGGAAACAACAACCATTTGCCATACATCTGTTCTGTGTTCAGAACAAATAAATATAGGCCATGCCAATGTCTGCTAAAGAGGTCTGCTGCTCGGGGATAATTGAACAAATTATAGTTATTTCATCATTTGATTCACTGGGTCTTAGGTTGCAATCACATAACCTAACCCCTATGGCAAATAAATATGTCTAATACTCTGGTTCCTACATTAGAGTATACTGAATTACACATGTTCTAGTCTAATTAGACACACAGCACTATAACTGAGGATGAAAAAAAAAACAACTTGTGATTGAGCATGCACACATAATAGCTGCTAAATCCATTAGGAAGTCAGACAAGTCTTACAAAGATATTTACAAGTAAATTCTACTATTGCTACAGACTTCAAAAAAGATGATTCCACTTACTTATGCAGGGGGCAATGGGAGATCGGCTTTGCTGGTAACCTTTGGCACATCTATTGCATGTGATGCCAGTCACACCATCTTTGCAAGGACATTGACCTGTGGTTTGATTACAGGTCTTGCCAGCTGCACCCACGGGGTGGCAATCGCATGCTGTGGGGGAAAACACATGACAGTTTCAGAGAAAAAGGAAAAGTGAGAGTCAACATCAATAGGGACAATCCCAGCAAATATCTCTTTCCCACAGAAAAGAACCAAGTAACCCCTCTTCCCACCCATCTTAGGGGCAAGTAGGGAAGGGTCATGCTTATTATCCTGTAAGGATCTTGGTATGTCATGCTATAAAACACCTAGATCTGGGAAATTAAAACCAAAGTACAAAAATGTGATGACATTTCCATATACGTTGGGGGATCTTGCTGCAATCTGTAAGTGAAACCCCATAATTTAAATACATTTTCATGAATAGAACCAAAATTTCCTGATAAGTGGAGAAGAAAGTTTTAGGGGTAAACATTTTCTGTTACATATGAATTCCTATCTGGTAAGTCTGGGATTTTTATATTCTCTGCATACTTCTTACCCTTTAGTCCATCCTTAATTCCCTAGATGGTTGACATGTGTTTAACAGATACAAAGTGACTTTGGGGAGGGAGATAACTGGGCAAGAAATAGGGTATCAATTATCCATATGATCTGAGGCAGCTGGCAAGGGGAAAGGCTGTGTGGGTTCCCCCTAACTCTCTGACCAATCTGTCTGAGGTGCAGTCACAGGAACAAATCATCACATCATAGGATCATAAATTTATAGTGGGAAGAAACCTTAGAGGTCATTGAGCCCACTACCCTCATTTTACATACAGATGAGGAAACTGAGGCCCAGAGAGGCTGAGTGACTCTCCCAGAAATACACAACTAGTAAATATCTCAGGTAGGATTAAAACCCAAGTCTTCCTTACTCCAAGTCCAAAGCTCTATCCAGGTCTGCTCACTAACCAGAGAAGTATCCTCCAAGATTCTGTCACGAATTCTCTTCTCTACTCCCTCCAAACTCTTGATCTCATCAGCTTTCATAGGTTCAATTATCATTTCTAAGCAGATGATTGCCAGATTTATATATCCAACCTGAATATCTCTCCTGAGTTTCAGTCTCACATCTGCCATTTGGACCTCTCACACTGGATGTCCTCCAGGCATCTCAAACCCAACATTTCCAAAACTAAACTTAAAATCTTCCATTCCAAATCCTCTTCTCTTCCCAATTTCCCCATAACTACCAAGGATACCATCATCTTTCCAGTCACCCAGGCTCACAACCTCAGTGTCATTCTTGAACTCCTCACTCAAAGTCACCACATATATCTAATCTTGCATCAACTCATGTTGATTTTACCTTCACAGCATCCCCTTCTTTCCACTCACTTAGCTACCACCCTAGTTCAGGGCCTTTATTACCTCATTCCTAAACTATTATAATGGCCTTTTGGTGGTTCTCGCTGCCTCATGTCTCTCCCCACTCCAATATATCCCTCCAATTAGCTGCCAAAGTGATTTTCCCTAAAGGGCAGGTCTGATCATGTCACAAACTCCATCCCCATCCCCCCAAATAAATTCCAGGGCCCCCCAATTACCTCTAGGCTCAGATATAAAATAGTTTGACATTTAAAGCCTTTCATAATATCCCTGGCACCTTTCAACTTCTAGACTTCTTATGCTATACTCCCTTCCATTTATTCTATATCTGACATAGAGTCTATGATCTAGGTACCTTGGCTTACTTACTATTCCTCAAATATGACACTTCTCCAGACTACCACTTTTCACTTACTACTTTCCCATACCTGGAATACTCCCCTTCCTCATTACTTTGCTTCTCTGGCTTCAAGACTCAACTTGAATCCCATCTTCTACAACAGGTCTTTCCTAGTCTTCCCAGTTCTGGGGTCTTCCCTCTGGGATTACTTTCTATTTATATTGCTTATTTTTTGTATGTATATAGTTAAATGCATGTTGTCTCCCCCACTAGAATAGGATCTCCTCATTTGTAGTAACCAAGTTTTTGCCTTTTTTTATATCTCTAGTTTTTAGCATAGTGCCTAGCACATATTAAGTGCTTAATTTGTTGACTGACTACCCACTATACCCTACTGTTTCTCAGGGATAGTGTAAGACCCATAATTGAAGTAGGAATTGGGAATCATAGGATTTAGAGTTGAAAGGGACCTTACTAATTATCTAGTTCAACCATGTCATATTATACATAAAGGAAACTGAGACTCACAGAGTTTATGTGATTTGCTCAAGATGACAAAGGTACTAAGTATCAAAGCTGGAATTCAAACCCAGATCCTGTGTCTCCAAATACAGTATTCTTACTCAGGAAGACCGGGGTTCTAATCCTAATACTTATTAAGTCTCTAGTCAGATACTACTAGCTGTGTGACCTTAGGAAAGTCAATTAACCTTTCTCTGCCTCACCTACCTTCTCTATAAAATTGTGAAAGAGATGATCTAAGAAAGTGGCACACGTGAAGCATTTTGCAAATCTTAATGAATTTAAGTACTAGTACTTAATAGTACTATTATACCACTCTCTCTTTCTGAAGGAACAATGGCTTTCAGGGTAGTAGTCATAAAAATTAGAAAACTATAATGTCAAAGCTGTTAGAAACCTTAAAGATCACCTAGCCCAACCCTTTCATTTTAAAGGGGAAGGAAACTGATGCACAAAGAGGAGACATAAACTGCTGAAGGTCACCCGGTGAATTAGTAGCAGAGCTAATATGACATCACCCAGTTTTGTTTATTACATAATTTGGGAAATGGGATAGAGACGAGGGACTATGATATATTAAAATGGGTGCTATCCCTGAAATCAGAAGACTTGAGTTTAAATGCCATCTATGTCACTACATGTGTTACCTTGCACAAGTCACTTAACCTCTTCAGGCCTCAGTTTCCCCAATGGCAAAATGAGAGGATTGGACTACATGACCTTTGAAGTCTCTTCCAGCCCTAAACTTTATTTCTATACTACTTCTTGTACCAGGATAAATCCAACCATTTACGGCTCCAATACTTAGCTTCCTGAAAGCCCTTACCACAAAAGCAGGAATCACAAGTAGATCCTGGAGATGGCAATTTCTCCCAGAAATATCACTTCATGATGCTTGCCAACTTCCAGATGGATGTCTACAAAAACCCTGGACAAAGACATGTCTACTTGAAGGTACCAGCCTTTAAAACTTCTGACTGGTTTCACCTCCTTAGCTCCAGATTAAAAGTAAGGAAATGCTTTACCCAGCAACACTGGGAGTTCTTAAGGCTGGCTAACTTTCTGGAGAAACAATATTGTAACAACAAATGGTATTCTACCAGTCCTGCTAATTTCTGAGCCTTCCGGGGCATGTGCTGTATCTAGAATGAATGGAAATAGAAAAATTAAGATGGTGGGGACAGACTGGGATGAGAATCTGACCTGAAGCCAGTTATGTCAGGAAATGGATAAAATACCATCCACATCCCTAAAACATGGTGAGGAGTGGAGTGGTGTAGGCACCAAAAGATAAGGGGCTATCTCAATGTATTTCTTAAAATTATGTTCTATTAAGGGTTATGATTTTAATAACTAAATGTTTAGAAGAACCTATATCAGAGAACAGGCTGTAAAAACTGTAGCTCTTAATAAAGAACCAACTTTGTAGACAAATCAATCATCAGTTGATGATTGACTAATCAATAATCAACCAATTCACATTTATTAAGCACCTATTATGTGCTAAGCACTAAGCAAGTTACTGTTCACATGGGAGGAAAGGATGCTCAGTGATAGTAATGAAGCTCTGGACCTTCCTTCTCACTGGAAAAGGGCCATCATAAGGTTTTCATGCAAACCATATTTGACTGCTGTGATTTTCTTTCTTTGCTTTGCTGTAAGAGATAGGAGCAGGGCAATTGGCAGGAATTATGAAAAGCCTTGATAAGTAATATCCACACAGTTAAAACTCCATTCCTTCAGGTCCTCCACCCCGTCCCCTGGCTATACATAAATCAGAAGCAGAAGAAAAGTCACCATCTAGGGCTTTGGAGATCAAGTTGTCTTGAAGCTCCAAAGCCAGAGAGCTTTTGACTTCAAGAAAGGGTTTTGAGTGAATTAGAAATGTGTTTTCCATTCAAGCCTGAGATCTAAAGCAGATTAGATTTAACTGTGTTTGAGAATAATTATGGGTTAGTTAGTAAACCACCAACGTGCTTATATTTCCTTAAATCTTATTGTTATGGTATTAATGTTTTCAAATGTGATTAGCTATTAATTTTCATGTGTAACTATTAATAAGGAGCTCAATTTTTGAAAAAGGCTTAACTGAACAAAAAAGCCAAGTTATCATCTTCTATCAGTTACACATTTATGGAAAGCCTAACAATACAATTCATAAAGCACTCAGGCATCTCCATATACCTGGTGGCAGCAACTTGAATTTAAGGAATGAAGCTTAAGAAGAAAGTGACTTGAGAACCAGTCTTTCAAATTCAGACCTATAAAATATTAGCAAATATCATTTTTTAAAATTTCCAATTAATAAGGTAAATGTGGAGGGCAATCTTTCTGAATTTTTTGTTTGACAGATAAGAAATTACACTTGGCTTCTGTCAGGTAATTCTTATAAATTGTCATTTATTTCTATTCCAAATTGAGGGGGATAGAGAAGGAATATTACAAATATGACTAGGGACTGAGACACTAACCAGATCAACACTTTCCTTCCAAACTCTGTGGAGGACAGGTGGTGGGGAAGACTGAAAGACAAGAAAAGGAGTGGGAAATGATGGGAAAGAAAAAAGAAATGGGGGGAAAGGAGGGCTCAAGCAAAACTGAACCCCAAATAGTAAGGACATTTCCAACAATGATAGGGCCTTTTCATTTTTTTCTAAATAAGGGGATCTCAACTTGGGATACTTGTATTTGCTTTTTAAAAATATTTTATTTCTTTATTTAAAAATAAATCATTCCCTTTGTAATCCTATTTGTGCTATTTTAGGCATTTAAAAACTCTATCATGAAAAAGGGCTTCAACAGACTGCCAAAAGGGGCCCGTGACACAAAAAAGTTAGGAACCCTTCCTCCAGAGGTATGTGGATGTGACTGCTGGGGA